ATTTTGGATTTCTTTGCAAAGTTGATAAATTTCATCGAGTGTACTTTGTAAGTTGGAAATATCAAGAGATATAAGTGGTTCAATTTTGATTTCTTTGAATAATTTTTTAGTTTCTGTTATGTATTGACCGGTTTCTTCTTCTTCAATTATGGGATGTAATGGTACTTTGCCTTTATCAATCTTTGAAGGTGATTGATCAGTGACATCTTGTTCTGATTGTACGCAATCATTACAGTAAGTTGAGTCACAAGGGATAAGACATTCTTCGCATAGCTTAACATTAATAAATTCAAGTTTGGCTAATTGTAATCATTGTTCTAGAGTAATCTGCTGATAGATGGAGTGGAAAATTTCTGCTGCTGAGGCTTTTTCTAAACCATTATATTCGATATATTCAATTTCATTAACAATATCATCCACTTGAATATATTGGAATAGTATTGCTTTTCCAATTTCATTACAGGCTGAATAGATGTCAAGGAGGAGATATCTTTCTCGGAGCTTCCTAATAGTTTCAGCATTTTTACGCCAGCCTCCACAGTTGAACCAAAAGATATATTGGTATTCATAGGTGCAAAAATATCATTTTTCATAACTACCAGTAATGTACATATTTCTGGTTTCATCACGATCTCTACAGTGAGAGCAAGTAGGAAGATTCAGACGTTTTTCAGTAACACATTCATCACATGCTATTGACTTTTCACCATTTATTTGAAAGTATACTCTAGTGTAGTATTTATCAATATATTTTTCATATTCTAAATATTGTTCGATTTGGATATCTAGATAGTGTTATAATTATTTTTAATAATTCTGTAATTAACGAATCTTTTAAAAATAATAGAAAATATGAAAATCTTCAAAAATAGTAACAAAAATAACAAATTGATAAAAATAGTATATACATATTATTACTTAATAATTGTATAATAATTATTTATCTATCTTTTCTACTCTTTCTACCTTTATTTTCTATCTTTTCTACCTTTTCTACCTTTATTTTCTATCTTTTCTATCTTTTCTACCTTTACTTTCTATCTTTTCTACCTTTTCTACCTTATTTATCTATCTTTTCTATCCTTTTTACCTTATTTATCTACCTTTTCTACCTTTGATATTTACCTTTTCTACCTTTTTTATCTTTATTTTCTATCCTTTCCACCTTTTTTATCTTTTCTATCTTATCTATTTATCTTCTCTACCTTTTCTACCTTCGATATCTACCCTTTCTACCTTTATTACCCTTACTTTCTACCTTTTCTATCTTTTTCTATTTATCTTTTCTATCTTTTATATATACCTTTTTATAACATAGATAGAACTGAAATGTATTGATGAATCTTATATAAATAAGAGTGCTCTTCCATGTATCAATCTCATGTTTCAATACTAAAACAAATTAATAAATTTTAATCTTGCTACAATAAGTTAACGATTGCCTTATTGTTATAAAATTAATATTTATTCTTATATCTTCTTCCGTCGAAACAAGTTGTCTGGCAAAAATAATTTGTTGATTGAACTTCAAATCTTGTAATCCAAGTCACTTTTCATAAATCTTGAGCGAGATCAAGAAACCAAATATTGATTTGTATAGAATTGAATTTCTGATTATTACTTTTGTCTTTAAATTTGGAAAAGACAGTTAAGTATTTTTGAATAAGTATTTTGATTTGCTATAGCATTATTTTTGGTATAGTTGTGCACCGCAACTTTAAATAAGTGATATTGATTTG